GTGTAAAAGTTGCCGTCGGAATATACATTCTAGTCGGAAATCGGAATATATATTATGTCTGATTTTAGGCACGAGTTTCAATCGCTTATATTAATTCGAAATTTAACGACATACACCAACAAGGGGGAATTTCGTTCTCGACCAATCAGCGCTTTTGTTTACATTTTTGCCCTAAGCCAATCGGAATGCGTAAAACGCTTCATCACATGAAATTTGTAAACAAACAAATGGGGTTACTTCAGAGCTTTTCTGCAAGCGGTTTTTTTGTTTTTTTCCATGAAATTCATATATGTTGTTCCTAAAAGAATTCTCCTCAACTTCCTCGTGGCGATTTTTGATTAATTGCGTGATTGCGAAGATATGGGTCTTCAAACTTTGCCTTGCGCAAGCTTAAATACCACCCCTCGAATTTGTAGGTTCCGAACGGATTAGCGTTTTTAAAAGCCTTTCAAATCGAGGTTTGTGACGTTTTATTTTTTAAAAGATACTTTTATCTTCATATTTTCACATTAACTTATTAATATCCTGTGTAACAAGTAAACAGGACATTTCCGGGCCGGGACAAGTTGACATGTCGATTTCTTGCCAAACAGCGTGGCGATCAATATGGCGAATATCTAAATACAGGGAATTTTTAAAATTTTGTTGGTATAAATGGGATAAAGAAACTCATCAAATATTTGGACTATGGACCTTCAAACTTATGCCAAGTATTTATTTGATTGATTAGCTCAATAACTGTTTTTTGGCTCATTTTTCGTCGATTTCGACATTTAGTCGAGCTTAGTCGACTTCAAAATAATGTGTCAACATTGCGTGTTGCAGCCTGTGGACATGAATATTTTCGTTTGTTTGACAATAACACTTGTCTTCACTGTTTTTAATCCTTGAATGACAATATATTCATTGGTCTCAGAGTCCTAAACTTAAGGAAGATGGATGACATTGGGACAGAATGATTTTGTTCAATGTTGCTGTTCAGGTATCAAAATTTATGGACATACCTGTATATGAACTTCATTGTTTTTTTTACTTCATCTGGCTCACTTGTCACAATTGGGCCCTGTTCATATTACCTGGCTAGGTGGGAGACGACATTTGCCAGTATGTTCTATCCTATCCTGCTACTATCGGCCTAGCTAAGCGTGAGGTTTCCATTGCCAGAATCCTGGCTATATGTAAGCCAAGAAATTCACCATATACAATAAGCACTGTATACCAAACAGGCAACATGAATTAGGCTTCAAGCATGTGTTCTGGATAGTCTAGATCATATAAACAGGTTCCCAATAGATCCCGATCTACTATAATTGGAAACATTTTAGTCCATAAATTTGTGCATTACCAGAATACCTGTGCACAAATGAATATTTTACACATATTATATAATGCAATCCAATATTAAGCCCCCAGTAACCTCACAAATAGGCCTCCCTTCCAAAAATCAGATCTCCCTTCCAAAAATCAGATCTCCCTTCCAAAAATAAGCTCTCCCTGTTAAGGGCTGTCAAAATGGGCCATGCTAGCCCAGCAAACATGGCTGGATTTTCTTTTCAGGGCTAGTTTGTCATTTGCCTCACACGAGCCAGGCTAACCTGGCAACTGTTGTCAAGAAAATTGTGTGAAATGCTGGTTAATTTGTTAATGACAACAGCTTCAGAAGGCTTATATTAATCAATTTCTTACTTACTTGGGCCAAATTGTGTATTATAACATGATTTTTAGTCGAGTGAGCTGGTTGGCCAGCTTATGACCTTTA